GGTTCAAAATAAAAAAAATGGAACCCATCAGGGTTGTCCGTTATCCCCACTACTGTATATTATTTCTATCAAACCGTTAGCAGCACTTATTAGAGATCTGAACAAAATTTTAGGAATCCCCATGACGGAGAAGGAAAGTAAACTTTTACTATACGCAGATGACATAATACTCACTCTTAGGGATTTAAAAGGTAAATTCCAGCTACATTAGATATCATCTACTGTACAGTGCTACGGAATCTAAAGGCGCTATATAAATAATAAAATAAAAATAATTAAGGGATTTGGGGTTTATTCGAACTATAAATTAAATCTGAATAAAACTCAATTTATCTCTATTAATATTACAGCTGAATTGATAGAAAACCTACAAACAAGCTATAATTTTACCTGGAACAAGGAAACAATTGACTACTTAGGTATTAAGTTATGCTTTGATATGGATAAGATTCCCCTAAACTATAATTACCTCCCAAATGAACTTAAAATCACTTTGGATATGTGGAGTAAAGCCTGGGCTTCATGGTTAGGGAAAAAGCTTACCTAATGCTTAAATTAGAATATGTGATAAGAATTCCAGTTAAAATATTAGAAGAATTTCATAAGTTGATGTGGAACTATGTGTGGGGTAAAAAGAAGTCTAGAATCTAAGAAAAACATGGCAAGAAAATTAGACTAAGGTGGAATATCTTTCCCAGATACTTTTCTTATTTATTTATTTTTTTTCAATTCTTTATTTTTGTTGCACAAAGAGTATACAGATTAAGCTTGCATCATCACAGCAGCGGGGCAAACAATCCATTTTCAGACATGTGGTAACAGTAACATGGCATTGGAAGTACGAGCACAAATTTTGGGGGGGTTTTTTTATGTGAACTTCGTATGAAACAGTTAGGTCTAGACTAAATAACAGATTGCGTGTTGCCCTTCTGGATGCAATACTACACAGGAATCTCTGAAATTATGTGTGTGCTTCTCTATGTAGTGATAACATCTTATAACCAGAAACAATGCTTGTCTAGATAGACTTTTAAGGGATTAACACTAAACTATGCAGGGTCTTAGACATGCATTAAGTATATAACATAGAAACATAGAATGTGACGGCAGATAAGAACCATTCGGCCCATCTAGTCTGCCCAATTTTCTAAATACTTTCATTAGTCCCTGGCCTTATCTTATAGTTAGGATAGCCTTATGCCATCCCACGCATGCTTAAACTCCTTTACTGTGTTAACCTCTACCACTTCAGCTGGAAGGCTATTCCATGCATCCACTACCCTCTCAGTAAAGTAATACTTCCTGATATTATTTTTAAACCTTTGTCCCTCTAATTTAAGACTATGTCCTCTTGTTGTGGTAGTTTTTCTTCTTTTAAATATAGTCTCCTCCTTTACTGTGTTGATTCCCTTTATGTATTTAAATGTTTCTATCATATCCCCCCTGTCTCGTCTTTCCTCCAAGCTATACATGTTAAGATCTCTTAACCTTTCCTGGTAAGTTTTATCCTGCAATCCATGAACCAGTTTAGTAGCCCTTCTCTGAACTCTCTAACAGTAAAACGTGGAGGGGCATATAAGTAGATTGGCTAGTGTCAGGGTTCCAGCAAGAAAATAAATGTTTGAGCATATTTAAAAACAATTTAGGTTGTCAGAGCAAATTAAATGGTTCGATTGTTACTTTGGGTGTTCAGCTAATTGAGTCCCGCACTGTGAACAGGCTGGTAGCCGGAATGAGGGCAGCTGCAAACCTTCATCTGATGCCCTTGATGTGCTTTAGTAAGTAATCTGTTGTATAGCTCGACCTGGTGTCTCCGCCTTCCCTCCGGCTGGTCTGTACCGAGTAGTGGTCCTCCGTCTGGATTCCCCAGCTTGATTCGTGTGCGCGGTTTTGTGGTGAACAGTCAGATGCTGCTCTTTTCCAATGGTGTCAACTTGGTCTCAGTTGCTTGGTATAGGTCGCCGCACAGCTCTGGATCTGGTGCCTGTCTCCTCTACTCCCGCTCGTGTGTGCAGGTAAGTGGGGCATTGTAAATCCTGTGCCGTGTAGTCGCCTTATGTGATTGCAGATTCTCCACCGGCGATGATTTCTTTTCTTGTTCAAAGTGGGACTCCGTCTTGTCGGGTCAGAATCAGGTTTCTTAATGGTTTGTGGAGTCAGTTTCCGAGGAGGAGGCCCAGGCCTGAGATTGGGCCTGCAGCGCTGCCATCCACGCCTCCAGCCGTTACCAGAATCATTGGAACACTTTGTCTATGCACCATTGCGTATGGTTTGGCGGGCCCGGTTGGACCGGCTCTGACCCGTGCAGTTTGAGCCTCCACGAGGAGAGCTCGTCCGCCATCTTGGGCTTTGCTGTCTGGGTTGTCGTGTGGGTTGCCTGATTGCCAGGTGTGTCTATGGGGTGAGCCTGGGGGATCCGGGATAACCCCCACCAGTCCAGAGGGGGGGGGGGGCTGCAGGGCAGCAGACTTGCCTTCAGTCACAGCCGGTTCTGCACCAGGGGATCGGCCGTCTCCCCCAGGTATCTGGCCGCCATTCCCGCTAGGCCGCATGCTTGGACGGTGGTTTTCCATGGTGCTAAGGGCATAAACAAGGACACCCACGGGTGCCCGCTCACTGTATTAACAATCCACTATCTGCTCCTCTCTGAGTTTTGGTCGAGTGGATTTCGCTTTCATTAGGTTCAGATGTGCAGGAGCTGTTAACAAACACATCCAGCCATCTTGGCTGTCAGGCCCCGCCCCCCTTTCTTATTTTTTAATTCCATTATGTTTTCCCATTATTGGGTATGGAATACAGTCGGTAATAATCCACCGCTATGGTATCTATATGAGAATGCATGCTGTAACACTTTAACCTAATGTGGATATATTGGTTAGAACCAAGTGTCTTCAAAAGCTTAAACATAGACAATAGAATCATCCAAGAGCTATATTTATCCATCAAATAAGTATGTAAGACAGCAAGAATACTTTACTTTTCTAACTCCAATAGAAATCCTAGAAATATATAACCAAGATTTGAATTTAAAAGGATGGAAAGAACATGGAATAACACAGTTAGGAGATGTTATGGATAAAGGAAAGATAATGAGGCTTGCACAAATACAGATAAAATATAGTCTACCTAAAGAATATTTCTCATACTTAATAGTGACATATTTTTTTAAAAACTAGATTAATTGTCAAAGATTCTAATTTAGATAAGCTATTGAAAACTTTTGATAAAGAAAAAAATAATTTCTAAAATAAATAAACTACTTTACAATAGCAACAATAATGGGAAAATTTGGGGAATGATAAAATGGGAGAAAGATCTTGGACAAACGTATTCAATAGAGAATTGGTTTAGAAAAAACGATCCATTGTGTTAATATCTGGGAAACTCATCTTAAAATTATTTTATAGATGGTACTGAACCCCTTACTTATTGCATAAGTTTAATGTGGATAACGCGGAAATTTGTTGGAGGTGCGAAATTGAAATAGGAACTCCTATGCATATTTGGTGGAAGCGTAAAAAATAAGATATAATTTAAAGATGGATGAATGATTTAATTAAGGAAGTTTTTAATATTGAATTCCAAATTGAAATAGAAACGTTTTTATTTCACCTAGATCTAACCAAGGCTCCTAAATATACTAAATTCCTAATAATCCACATAATTATGGCGATTAAATTCTGCCTGGCTCATTACTGGAGGTTGAAGGAAACTCCCGGGCCAAAAGAAATAATAACTCAGATTGAATTCCAAAGTAGTATGGAACAAGGCTCATACAAGGCTCTAAATAAATCAATGATTTATAAAGAGACTTGGAATACCTGGGCTCTATATCAAAAGAATCATAAAGTTTGAAAATAATCTGTGCTCAACTTCGGACACAATATTTAACAAACCACCCTCTCTCCTCTTTCCTTTTTTTTTTTTTTTTTAAATGTGTGCTGTTCACCCAATGTATGATTCCAAGTAGGGAATGTGTTATGATTTAGCTTACGGTTAATACAATATAATATTTATTCCTTCTATATCAAAGTAGAAAAAAAATGTTACATAAGTGAAACTTAGTTAAAGCTTAACAGATAAAAATATATATATGGAATACTTGTTTTGCTATCGTACTGTATGTTGTGTGATCTTTATTATTGTATGTTTGAAAAATAATAATAATACAGAGAATGTTCAATTTAAAAAAAAGAACAACTACATTAAGTAGTGCTGGTGAGTGGTGACTATAGTGTCCCTTTAAATCAGTGGTTTCCAAACCAGTCCTCAAGTACCCCATACTAGTCCAGGATTTATGGATTATCCAATTTTGTCTAAGGTGTTTTTAGAAAGAAAGAAAAAACACTTTAGACACAACAGGGTAATCCCTAAATCCTGGATTTGTATTGCCGGTATTTTTAATATACTGGTACTGGCTGTGCAGCTAAAATACTAGTTTGGTGGCAAGTCTAAGTTTCACCGTTTAGTTAATGACAAAATAAATGCATGGATTTTTTTTAATGTATTTCTTTTTATGCTTTTGGTAGTGTTAGAAGAAAAGCTTTGTTTGGTGTAAATAGTTCATTATACTCAGTAACTGACATAACTCATCCTTATTTTGTGACATTATTCCCATCTATCTAATTAACATTTAGTGCTTAAAATGTATTTTCTCCAAAGCCAATCCTGGTAAATGTATGCACAACTTTCTTCTTGATCAAAGCATATTAGTGCTTTAAAACATGTTTTTTTTTTTTTTTAAAAAAAGAGAGAGAAACAATTGTAATGATGGTTTTAAGTAATTAACATTTGGTAGGTTGCCGCCACGTTAGTTAACGCGTCAGAGTTCTAAGCAGTAGAGTTAACGCGGCACTGTAACTCTGTAACCTTCTATGTCTATGCTGTAACCGTTGTTCTCATCGTCTAAGGTGTCTCCAGAAAAATGGCTTCGATTACGGAGACAAGTGCTGACGTTTAGAACTCGTTTTATGTCGCTGCACAAACCGGAAGTGTGCATTTTTAACCCGGAAGTTGATGCATTGCAGGACTCAGGAAGGTGGAACACACGTGAAAGTGTACAGGACGAGCTTTGAAAGCATGTCCGCATCGCTGCTCAGGAAAGGGCTGGATTTATTGGCTTCAGATACCAGCGGTATGTGTTGTGGAAGAAACCCTAGAGGCACTGAGCTGCCAGTGGTTGCATGATCAGCAAATGATGCTGAGACTCGGTGTAAAGTGACTGCCCCGGGCAGAGTGTGAGACCGTGCAATAGGGTCAGTGTATTGGAAGTATGCTGAATGGGAATCCCCTGCTCTTTGATAAGTGGGACTCAAACATAAATACTGTGTCTGCCTTTGTTAGGTCAGTTATTACAAGTTAACATTGTAAATAACTGAGGTAATATGTCACTGTATACTTTCTGTGCACTCTACTTGGTGATCAATATGCAGCTCCTTCTGGTTTTAAAACAGCACTGTCACCATTCCCTCCCACCCCCCTGAACAATTTGTATTTAATAAAGATAGAATTCCAAAACAGTCAAGTGATATACTAAGACAGAGTAAGGACTACGTTGTGTCTGTATATTTCCTGATAACTTTATTATACTCTGGGTTGAGTTAGTGTCAATCCCTACAGCTGTCACCAGTAACGGCTGCAGGAAATTGGCTCTGTGTATGGAGGATCCTGCATAGACCTTAAAGGACCACTCTAGGCACCCAGACCACTTCAGCTTAATGAAGTGGTCTGGGTGCCAGGTCCAGCTAGGGTTAACCCATTTTTTAATAAACATAGCAGTTTCAGAGAAACTGCTATGTTTATTTATGGGTTAAGCCTTCCCCCTAATCCTCTAGTGGCTGTCTCATTGACAGCCACTAGAGGCGCGTGCTTCTCACTGTGATTTTCACAGTGAGAGCACGCCAGCGTCCATAGGAAAGCATTGTAAATGCTTTCCTATGCGACCGGCTGAATGCGCGCGTGCGCATTCAGCCGACGGGGCGGAACAGAGGAGGAGAGAAGGTGAGCTCCCCGCCCAGCGCTGGAAAAAGGTAAGTTTAACCCCTTTCCCCCTTCCAGAGCCGGGCGGGAGGGGGTCCTGGCACTATAGTGGTCCTTTAATGCGGTGCGCATGCACCAGGAGCTGAAGGGGACCTGCCAAAACAAGATGGCCGCAACTGCGAGAAGCTTCAGGTATCTAAATCTCACCTTTGCCTGCCCCATTCCTCCTTGCCAAAATGTCACTGTTGGGGATCTTTGCAATTCAGCATAGTCCCCAGGCGGTGACAGTGCTGCATTAATGGTGTATTGCAGCTTCTTCGTAAACACTTCTACTTTCATATACCCATATGGATTCCAGTGTTTTGCTTGTTGTACTGTTACAATCAGTAAAATTTGATGAGTCAGTCAATCGTGTATGTAGGTTTGCCATGATATTGTCCTTTTTCCAGTGCAGTAATATATTCTACACGTCCACTTCAAATGTTGGTACATTTTGTTTATAACATCCTGTTTAAAGCTGATTGCTACTACTCTAGAATTGGTAATTCCTCATTCCCTTACACCAGTAAAGTATATTAGCATTTGCAAGGGCAATTAATACAGCACAGGTAAATCAAAAAATATAATTTGTCTTCGCTGCACTTCAGAGTGATTTTTGTGGTTCCATGATGCCTCCAGTATACTCCTATTCCCTCAGGGACTTGCACAGAAATGGCATACTAACATGCACACTCAAACATTCCTTTAGTTGTGTCATGTGTAAGTGCTTCATAAGTACAAAACTGCAGGGGTTAATATAATATACATATTGTTCCCTGAAGAGCATGTAATTTATTTCTATAAAAAGTTAACATTAAACACAGCCCATATCTCACATTTATTTCTATAGTCATGCAAAAATCTCATGTGACAGTACTACTTTAAAGGGGCACTCCAAGCACCAGAATTGTTGTAGCGTAATGTTGTGATTTTGGTGCAGAGGGATTGTCCATGCAGTCTCTTTATTGTAAACACTGCCTTTTCTGTAAAAAGTCAGAGTTCTATTTGTTCCTAAGGGCATCTGTAATGGCTGTCACTCAGGCAGCCGCAAAAGGTGCTTCCTGTCACGGTCCTACAGTCTTTGAGAAAATGCTGATTGGATTCGAGTGGAGACGTTTCCCCCTTGCTTCTTCTATGAAGTAGTATTGGATTGCCTGAGATCATCAGTAATAATGACCTCGGGGAGGTGCAGGAACCACAGGAAAATCAGTGTCAAATATAAAGTAATAAAACATAGTAAAATATTTTTATTATGGGAGGGGGGTGAGTAATCTAATCTAACAGGATGGAGAACAAACTTATGTTCAAGGGAGGGTATGCAGTTAACTATCTAAAGCACTTCAGCAAGCTGAAGGAAGTTAGGAGTGCACCTTTTAATATTTTGGACCAAGGCACATTTTGTAATTTGTATTTAACCTCTCTTCTTCAATTTGTGTAGCTAAATATTCGGGGAAAAAGAAAGGTTCTAATAGCCACCAGGATGTGCCTCTAAGCAGCCGCAAAACAGGAGTTAGAAAACAGCTGAAACGAATGAGACGGCAAGGCCTCCAACAAAAAGAAAAAGCAACAGCCAAAGACCGAGTTATAAAGTCTGCTTTAGGTGAGTGTTCTTCCAATTTAATAATTTACAATTACACTATTGAATATGCCATGGTGGAATAATGTGATAATAAGCCATTGAAGCAATAATGGTGATTACAGAAGAAAGTAGAGTATCCAGCGATGGCACATTTTCTTGATTATAAATATGAGACCTAGTAAAACCTTATTTATTGTAATGAAATAAGGATATTCACAGTAGGCTGTTTATTTTTTTCCTGAGCACCCAATGTAGCAGTATGTGGTTTGCAAGCTGAAGAAAGGTTAGATATAAGAGTAATTAAATCTGTGTTGTTATTGTAGAGGAATTTAAGAAGAAGAGTACAACGGATCATCTGTCAAAGAACATGAAATATTTCCTTGGCTCCCACAATGTAGCCAATAAGGACGTTGTGGAGAAGGTTGGTTGGTATTTTGTGATATACTTTTTCAATTACAGTATTTTTTTATTTTCTGTGTGATATGTTGTGTTGGACTCTGTAGACTGCTATTTAGTTGTTGTATTGGAGATAGTATGTAAAGGTTAATACATTGACACCTAATGAAGAAGAACTTCCACTTTATAAATTTATCAGACGAGGAGGCTGGACTGGAGGCACCCGCGGAACTTAGGTAGGAGTTACACTGAAAATGGTTTGACTACTTACCATGAGATGATATCAGACATTCGTTGCACAGTAGCTTGCTGTAGTGGCTATGATGCCCAGACCGACTCTTTAAATATCACAGACATTAAACCTTTACTCTGGATTTGTGTAATAGATTTTAATTAATATGAATGCTGTTTCACCATTCTCTAAATAAAAGCTAATGTATGAAACCAGTTAAGCAGAGTTATTGGCAAATCCTGAATTAAAAAAAAAAAAAGCTGTAAGAAACACTTCTAATTTGTGAATGTCAAATTGTATACTAATTATCTCCACTTTGTTATCAGTCAAATAATTCAAAGTGTGCTTTTTCTCCTACATTGACATAAGTGTTTTAGCCATCCAGGTTACTATTTTATTTTAGCAATGCTACTAGAGAGGGTGGAGCTATGTGTGATAGGGAATATTTGATTAATAACCATTATTATACACTGTAGTGGTTGTGGAAATTAGAAATCTCCCTTCAGCATAAGTAATGGGGCTTAGCATGAACGGTGAACCCAGAAATGCCAAGACAACCAAGCATCCTTCATGTTTTATTTTTTTGTTGTTGTACATTTTGCTTTGTTTGGGAGTCTAGGATCAATTCATCAGGGTTATGGTATGCTTTTGATTAATATATGGTTTTGCTATGATAAAAAGTCAACATAAATTGTTGGTGTAGGGTTAATTAAGCCTGCAAATCCAGCTTTGTATGTTTTAGGAAGATGGATGTTACTGTCTTTTTCCTCTGTAAGCACTTTTGGTGCAGGACAACTCACAAAAAGTGGTGTACTGCTCCTAACTCTGTCATTTATGTTTTTATAATATATTTTGTACTCCGTAGCTGTTTTATTTTGCTTTTGTTTGTTTTTTTTCTTCAGTAGAAAAGTCTTGCTTATATTCTAAATTCTCTTTAAATGTTATGACAGTGCTACTGTAATGTTTTTTTAGTGTGGAATGTCTGTCATTTTCATATTGTTCTTTATCCCACATGTAGATTTTGACACAGAACCGTGGACGCAAATCAAGGGACCAGGTAGTGAAGCAAAAGAAGAAAACACAACAAGTGAAATCGGTGTTCTCTGAGAAAGACTTCAAGCGCTTTGAAAAGGAATACTTTGGAAAAAAATTAAGCTGAGCTTGAAAATGACTACTTAACTAGACTTCCTATTTTGACGGATGATACATTACAATTCTCCATAAAAACCATCAGTGCATTTGATGTGCTAAGTGCCACCTTGCTGAAAAAAATCATTAATAGTTTTAAGGCAATAGGTTACTGGCAGAGCCTGTGGAGGATGAAGATTTTTGTACAGTTGCCATACAGTTTCCTTGTAAACTACATGTTACTAAATAATAAAACGTACCTTGGACTGTTGTATAGAGCTATATTTGTGGTCGGTTAATTTTAGTGACCGTGAAATACCTTGTGATTGGTTAAAGTCAGTGTGGTGTGCCGGAACCAACGTAGGGGGTAGGCCTGTGAAAAAGAGGGCCCCCCTAAGGAATTGTGTAAATATGGAGAGGGTGAGGTGGGTGGGGTGAACAGCGAAAGGTAAGGAGAGGGGAGTAGTGTTTTATAGGAACGCTAACTCCTCCCATAAATACAGGCCTGCTGCCTTAAGCTTGTGGTCGGTTAATTTAGTGACCGTGAAATACCCTGTGATTGGTTAAAGTTGGTGTGGTGTGCCAGAACCGACGTAGGGGGTATGCCTGTAAAAAAGAGGGCAAAAAGATTGCAGATAAACACACTTTATTCTCAACATGATTATTATACAAGAATCTTAAATGCTTGTCTTAACTCTCTTTCTGGATGTGGTATGTATTTGTGATATATAGCAGATTCCCAACGCTCTAATTTGTTAATTATGTGAACTGGCGTATTAGTACTGGATGTGGCTGATGCCACCCCTATTCTGAATGAATGTCCCGAATGAGTTGCGGGGTCCCAACCTAATTTAATGCACAGTGTACGAATGTAAAACATGAATTTAGCAGTAGTTGGGGGACTGCCTAATAGTGTGGAAACCTTCTGAGAACCCGTGTAATAAGTATTCCACCAAGTGAGAAGACGGGTGCGACTTTAAGTAGCATTCTAGATTGCTAATATTTACCTCGGTTAGTCATTGCATTGGGTTTAACTTGGATGGGCACATGGTTTTGGCATGGGCCCTAAAGCATATGGAACAGACGTGTAGTAATCTGCAGGCGCTAAAGCTACACACACCTGCATTAAAATTATTGCATATTTGGGCTTTGCCTAACTAGATGATGGGACGGCTGAGCTTATCTTTTTGGCTGCATTGGTCAGGCTTGCTAGCTCCTCCTGAGATACCAGAATAGGAGGGTTCTGCCTCTGAGGGGCACAGGTTGGTGGTATGAGAGGTAGAAGAGCAGACTGCACAAGACGGGGGTTACTAAGCCTTCAAAATGTCTGCAAAAGAGTTCCGTGTCCAAGAGGCTCCAGTCAGTACGGATGTTAAACTGGGGCAAGGTTGCAGCTGCTTTTGCCGACACAGACTTGTGGAAATCATAAAACATGAAACCCCCGTACTTGTGGCCTAAGTCTACCACCTTATGTAGATATAAATCTAATTCCTCCCGGCGCTGCGGATAAACTGAGCATACAACATCCCTGTAGATACTGAAGGCTAGGACAAACTCTGGTATGGTGAGTTTTTTTTATTGAGTCTTGTGTCTCTAGCCTTCATAACGACAGCCAAATCACCATAATTGTACACTCCTGTTTTCCACAATGTCTTGGGAGGCAATGAGACCAGATTTACATCTTTCCCATCTAAAATGTCCTTACGGGGGGCTGGAGGGACCATGTGTGCTGGGGTAATAACTTGTGTAGTAGAAGGGAAGGAGAATGGTGAAGCTAGGGGCCTACCCTGTGAGATGGCAGGTGTGAGTGCTTGTACCGGTCCTATGGGAGGAGGATCTATGTGAGTTGTGTTGCTTGGCGTTTTCCGGGTGTGCTGGGGGGGGGAGGACTCTTCGTCTATGTAGGCTTCTTGAGACATGCTGCAAGAAAGAATAACACAACAACAATAACCTGGTTAATAAAAATACAATTGAGCTTATATAGAACTGGCTGGCTAACTAGTGCTGAAGGGAAAAGCTATCTACCCCGTGGCAGGTGAGGCCCCGCTAGTTGCCAAGCGGCAGATGAGAGGCTCTATCTATGATTTGGGCGTGGGGCTCAAGCCACTAGCGTGGTGGCGGGGTGTTGACCTCTTGGTGACGGTAGAAGATTCAATATGTGTGGCCATGACAGGTGAGGCCCTAACTATAAACCCAATAGGTGGGTGGATGCGAGGTTCTAACTATGATTTGGCCCAAAGGGGCGAAAATCTCTTTGTTGAGATTGGGGAGTTGGCCTCACGGGACCAGCTACTTGTATAACTAAGGCCAGCACCTAGCCCTAAACAGCCAGTTCTCTGTCCCTATACGGGGGCTTGATGAAAGGGTAATGCAATGTACCTAGCGAAACCTAAGTTGTTGTTTCTGTGAGAAAGCTCTCTAAGAGACCGAAGACATAAAAAAAGGGGAAGAGCAGTGGAAAAGGGCAAGGAATGAGGGGGGGGTAAAAGGAGATACATTTTTTTTTTTTTTTATAATTTGTGTAGTGAATGCCGTGAAAATGCAGATAGGTGTTAATGAAAACAGACATAAATTGACAGATAGTGAGTTGTTGGTAAACGTATGACGAGTTGTCAAGTGGAGCCGTGGCCTGATGAGGCAAGGCGGGAATCAAGCCCCCGTATCTTAACCCCTTATGGTGGTGCGTGGCCTTGTAGAGACAGTAAATAACAAAGTAAAAGAAGATATATTAGTACCTGATAAACAGGACATAATGGACCAATAACCGGATTGTAGTAAATGCCCTTGAGAAACCTGAAATTTAGGCAGCATATTAAAAGGGGAAAGGATATCTACAGGGAGTGCAGAATTATTAGGCAAGTGAGTATTTTGACCACATCATCCTCTTTATGCATGTTGTCTTACTCCAAGCTGTATAGGCTCGAAAGCCTACTACCAATTAAGCATATTAGGTGATGTGCATCTCTGTAATGAGAAGGGGTGTGGTCTAATGACATCAACACCCTATATCAGGTGTGCATAATTATTAGGCAACTTCCTTTCCTTTGGCAAAATGGGTCAAAAGAAGGACTTGACAGGCTCAGAAAAGTCAAAAATAGTGAGATATCTTGCAGAGGGATGCAGCACTCTTAAAATTGCAAAGCTTCTGAAGCGTGATCATCGAACAATCAAGCGTTTCATTCAAAATAGTCAACAGGGTCGCAAGAAGCGTGTGGAAAAACCAAGGCGCAAAATAACTGCCCATGAACTGAGAAAAGTCAAGCGTGCAGCTGCCACGATGCCACTTGCCACCAGTTTGGCCATATTTCAGAGCTGCAACATCACTGGAGTGCCCAAAAGCACAAGGTGTGCAATACTCAGAGACATGGCCAAGGTAAGAAAGGCTGAAAGACGACCACCACTGAACAAGACACACAAGCTGAAACGTCAAGACTGGGCCAAGAAATATCTCAAGACTGATTTTTCTAAGGTTTTATGGACTGATGAAATGAGAGTGAGTCTTGATGGGCCAGATGGATGGGCCCGTGGCTGGATTGGTAAAGGGCAGAGAGCTCCAGTCCGACTCAGACGCCAGCAAGGTGGAGGTGGAGTACTGGTTTGGGCTGGTATCATCAAAGATGAGCTTGTGGGGCCTTTTCGGGTTGAGGATGCAGTCAAGCTCAACTCCCAGTCCTACTGCCAGTTCCTGGAAGACACCTTCTTCAAGCAGTGGTACAGGAAGAAGTCTGCATCCTTCAAGAAAAACATGATTTTCATGCAGGACAATGCTCCATCACACGCGTCCAAGTACTCCACAGCGTGGCTGGCAAGAAAGGGTATAAAAGAAGAAAATCTAATGACATGGCCTCCTTGTTCACCTGATCTGAACCCCATTGAGAACCTGTGGTCCATCATCAAATGTGAGATTTACAAGGAGGGAAAACAGTACACCTCTCTGAACAGTGTCTGGGAGGCTGTGGTTGCTGCTGCACGCAATGTTGATGGTGAACAGATCAAAACACTGACAGAATCCATGGATGGCAGGCTTTTGAGTGTCCTTGCAAAGAAAGGTGGCTATATTGGTCACTGATTTGTTTTTGTTTTGTTTTTGAATGTCAGAAATGTATATTTGTGAATGTTGAGATGTTATATTGGTTTCACTGGTAATAATAAATAATTGAAATGGGTATATATTTGTTTTTTGTTAAGTTGCCTAATAATTATGCACAGTAATAGTCACCTGCACACACAGATATCCCCCTAACATAGCTAAAACTAAAAACAAACTAAAAACTACTTCCAAAAATATTCAGCTTTGATATTAATGAGTTTTTGGGTTCATTGAGAACATGGTTGTTGTTCAATAATAAAATTAATCCTCAAAAATACAACTTGCCTAATAATTCTGCACTCCCTGTAGAGTGATCTCTACTATATATGAAATATGTTTAGGACCTACCCCTTATTAGTATATAGCATGTATCAATAACGTAAAGAGAATTCTGATTGTGGACTTACTGCATTTACCAGTTATTAAGGCAAAGAGGTTGGAACTAGGCTAAACAACCAGGTGAAAACACTGTCACTAAGATTAGGACAAATAAGAAGCAATAAAGAGGATTCCCAATAAGATACAGCACAAATGGTAGCCAATTAATAAGTACCTAGTTGAACCTGATATAATTGGTAACTTTAAATGATTAGTCTGACCAATACGTAAGGGGGGGAACTTGGACCTAATAGTTTATTATAAAAGGCGGAATTTGATTCATACTATGGAAATTGCAATAGCTTCCCTGAGATTGTCATTGTGACTGACAGGTGTAATCATACATATACATTGTATAGAACTTGCATTGCTTAAGCATAAAGCCAGTAAATGCCCGAATTTGATATGAATGTAACGAATATACTACCGAATGGAACCTGGTTTGCAGGTCTCGTGTTCGTCTGTTTGTTTGAATGAAATGAGACAAACGTGAATTGAAAGATGTCGAATGGCGGGAATAGCCCGAACGTGCCTATTCTCGCCGATTACCTGGCGTTCGTTTGTTTGGTGGTTCGTGCGTCTGTGCGAACGAAGGTGCTGACTGGCGGGAAAGCAGCGAGGATAATGGGAGCGGAACAGCTCTGATGGGAACTGGAAGTTCGGCTGACAAGAGGAGGCAAGCAGGCCCGGAGGTGAACAGCGAAAGATAAGGAGAGGGGAGTAGCGTTTTATAGGAATGCTAACTCCTCCCACAAATACAGGCCTGCGGCCTTAAACATATGGAAGATGCTGTATAAATAAAAGTTAAATTAAA